GGCCTAGAACCCATCAGGGCCCGGGGACATGTAACTTTTCAATGTGCAATTTCGTGTAATTTCCTCCAGAGTACAAGGGGCATCAAGAGATGAAATCTGAGAGGGTGTAAGAGTGGGAAGAGGTATGGAATCAAGCCAAGAGACAGCAGGGGGAGGGGGATCCACATGGGGAGGTGCTAACAGGGAGGAGTAAAACTCTTTAAAAAGTTCCAAAACTTTGTGGGGCAAAGAGGAAATATTACTGTGCTTATTAGGTAATTTACATATATGTGGGGGACGAATTGAATGGTTAAGTTTACAAGCGAACATGGTCGACTCTGAATTGCTGTGTAATAAAAAGGATACCTTAGACCAGAGTAAAGCTTTTTCAGTTTATTGAGATAGCAGGGTATTCAGTTCTAAGCACTTTTGTGATACCATGCCCCTATTCAATAAGGATGGGTTACCTACATGAGCTCTATAATTCGTTTCCAGTTCCCTGGTGAGTGCCTGAATTTGTTTCCAACGATCCCTATTCCTGGCTGCCGCCATAGAAATAAGGCGGCCACGGAGAACCGCCATGTGAGCCACCCACAGCATAGCCGGGGTGGTATCAGGGGGTATTGTTCAGCTGAAAATACTCTTGAATTGAAGTAGCTACGTCTTGACGGGAGGTGGTATCTGTAAACATAGAGTCATTCAACCGCCAGGAGTAAGCAGTACACGCTAGTCCTATAAAAGTGATAGACAACGCCATAATATTATGATCCGACCAAGAACACAAGTGTATCCCAGCATTCGTGGAGTTGGTCAGAAGGATCGGAGAGCATTATATGTATTCCAACCTAGCATATGAGTCATGCGGATGGGAATAAAACGTGTAATCCCTAGCTCCCACATTATGAGCCCTCCAAGATTCAATCAACTGGAACGAATCTAAACATTTCGTAAGAGATTTTGGGAAGGCTGAGGAAGAGGATGAAGAGGAACTTCTATCCAATAAAGGGTTGGCCACCAAATTAAAGTCCCCTTCTACCAATAAATGGAATGACAGGAACTTAACAAGAAAAAAATAAGGTCGCCTGAGCTGAATTCGGTGCATAAACATTAGCTATTGTAAGTTCACGATCTGAAAGGGTGCCCTTGATAATAAACCTGCTCTCTGGGTCACGATAGACCTGTTGCACATTTAAGGGAAACGAATTATGGAAAAAGATCGCCACCCCCCCTACTTTTGGTGGAATGTAAAGTATAAAATGCTTATACGATTTGTGGAAAAATGTAGGATGCCGTTACATTTAGCCGTTGCAAAATGTGTCTCTCGTAATAAAAGGATTTTTTGCCCCTAGCCACCTATACTGGAGGAAAGCTGTTTTGCGCTTGTGTGGAGAATTAAAACCCTGGACATTATGTGAAAGGCAATTTATCACCATTTTTAAGCACGTAGCAAAGAGCTTTTAACAACATTATCATACCAAAAAATTCTGTATCAGGAGAGGATGGTCTAAAAGGGGATTACCTGGCTTTACAACCTTATAATTTTATGCAATATCCAAGCCACATATGTAGCTAAGAGACCCATAAAAGTGTGTATGACAACAATCATGTACCAAAAGAAAAAAAACAAGAACATAAAATGATAGAAGCAGGGCCGGAGCAGCCCCTATAACTATAGAGATCAAAACAAACCATGGATCAAGTAGGCGAACTGCCTCACCTGAAAAGACAGAAAAAACATAATTTCCAAGGGCCAACAAGGCCCAAACCCTGCCACCAAGAAACACGGAGAGCAGAGCAGCCACTCCACAGCAGAGCAGCGGCACCCCTGACCATGCTTGGCAACATGGTGGGGTAGTACATCGACAGCTCCTGCAGAACCAGCAAAAAATAAGGGCCTAAGAACCCATATAAAACATGTAGCATGTCAAGGTGTATAGGGAGCTAACCCCAAAATAACAGACACAACTAATGATAAAGCATCAGAAACATGTCCCAATAAGTGATCAGAGGTGGGGGAGAACAGCCAAAACCGAGGATCACCATCATCCTGCCTCTTGTCTGACTCTCCTCCTATCACGCCGTGGAGATAGAGTGTTCCAAATGGGAGATACCTGAGGGGTTGAGGGTAGGTGTTGAGGTGCGGGAGCATCTGCTAGGCCCAATTTCACCATGATTTCTTGACCTTCAAGAGGAGTAGTAGCTGTATACGTGCTTCCATTGTGTGTAAAGATAAACCTAAAGGGAAAGCCCCATTTGTAGCGAATTCGAGCCGAGGATAAGACCGACATCTGGAAAAATGTTCAGGGTCGGACCCTCCAAGGATATCATAGGGGTGTTGCGAGCAGCTCTAAGGATTTCCTCTTTAATCAAGAAATCTTTCATGCACAAAATTATGTCCCGAGGAGGTTTATCAATAGGAGGCATTGGACACAGCGCTCTAGGTATATGGTCACAAGTAAAGGCCTTAGCATCTTGATCTGGAAGAAGGGACTTGAACAACTTAATTATAGCTTGTGAAAGATCAGTTACTGTCTCAGGGACCCCACGGATGCGCTGGTTATTCCTGCAATTACGGTTATCAAGATCTTCCACCTGCACCTGTAAATTCAGCGTATAAAAGGTCTTGATCCCTGGAAAGCTCGCCATAGGCCAAACTGAGTTCACCGTGTTTTTTGTTTTCAAACAGTCCGTTCTGGCCCCAAGTGCAGCTATCTCCTGAGAAAGGACATTAGTGCTTTTATGAAGCTCTGATTGAAATTTATCGGCCTATATAGTATACATAGCCTCCAGACAAGATTCCAAATCCCCCTTTGTAAGCTGCTGTGAGTACTCAATCTCCTGTGCAGAGGACTGGGCCGCTGTGTCCTGTTAGAAACAGGATGGGGATGCTCCGCCAGCGCCATCTTTGGACATGCTGCACTGCTCCTGTGTCTGCAATAGGTAATTAATAAGGGACTTTTGAGCGGTCCCCTTACCTTTCTTTTTAGTTGACGGCATGTACCAAGTGTTTCTGGAGGTGTTAGGCTGATCGAAGTAAAAACCGAGTGGCAGACAGGCCCCAGAGAGCTGGCAGAATCTGTGTCAGGAATGGAGCTACTACTACATGCAGCTGTCATCCGGGAAGCCGCACATGCTCCCCAATCTGATATTATTTCTTGCCATAAACACCTGGCTTTTCAGACATCCTAGAGCTCTGAAATGTAAACTCCTTGGCCCTTCATAAGCAAGAGCATTTTAAATGCTGAAACTCCATCTGTAGCAGCATTCCAGCATTGAGGACAGCATTGAGCTAAATCCTTTATCTTTGATCTGAGAGCTCTTCCGAATGCCAGGAGGATTGGTAGTGCCTGAAGGCTGTGGAGCTGGGAGCAGCTCCGTAGGGGGAGAGAAGCTATGTAGCTACGTGAAGTGATTTTTTTTTTTTTTTTATTGAGGGGCTGCAAGTTGTTCCCCGTAAGGGGCAACTGCTACTGATCCACAACAACTGACGGCTTTCAGGAAAAAGAACAGACCAGAATCTGATCTGTACATAGGTAAGTGCTCCCCTTCCATTGTTTCAAGCCAAATTGGGCATCCCATAATCCCTATTGCTCTGTTTAAGTTGAAATACTCTAATAAAACAACAAAACCAAGTTCACTGTCTTTGGATACAAGTCTGAGTGAGAAATACCTTTTGCCTGGCTGTGCAGAGGGAAGCTTAGGGATACCCACAATACAGCAGCCCTCACAAGGGTAGTGCTCCATCAGCAATGGGGTCATATTAGATGAGTGAGGGAGAGAAACTGAGGGAGTCAGTAGAGCAGTTGACAGTGTCAGTAGGGCAGTGCAGTGCACTCTGTGTAGACAGTGTTGGCTCGTGGGGCAGTGGATAGTGTCATTAGTTTATTCATTTTTTTTTCTAAAAAAAATTTTTTTTTTACCATTTTTTATTAGGCTTTGGGTGGAATATCAGGAGTCTAAACAGACCTTTGAGACAGAGAAAGGAGTTTGAGGATACTGCCCTCAAGCTCCATCTCTGCAGCCTCTGCTGTACAGAACAAATGAATAGGAAAAGCTCTGAACAGTCTCTCTATTTATTCACAAACTAGAGGCATAATAAACACAGTTTATGCTTCAGTTATGAATGAACACAATGAGTGATTGGTACCGATCATTCACTGTGTTTATTCAGAAAAGGAAGTTAACCGGCCCCTTCCCCCGCCTTCCATCCTGAAACAATCCTCCTCAGCAGCTGGCAGGAGAGTAAAGGAAGCCAGTAGCACTGTTGGGGGGGGGGGGGGGGTCCAAGGGAGTCGTCAGGGGGGCCTGGGCAGCAGAAGGAAGGATAATCTGGACAGGATGGAGCAGAAGCTGGCTTTTAGCTGCAGTAGTAGGAAAATACAAGGAATCAGTTCCAGTAAATGCTTCCCCCTGCTCCTGTACACCTGTCTAATGTACCCTGGCCTATGCCGTTTGATGGAACATTTGCAATTACTTACAACTATGATAGGGAACCTTATATTTTTTTTGACTTTAGGTTTAGTTTCACTTTAATGCTTGATTGCTTCTGTGATGAAAAGCTTCTGAATGAGTCTTACTTTTTCAGCTTTCATTTAACCAAACACTGCGTCTTTCCCTTGCTCTGTTTCACAAACAGTAATAAAGATTTATGAATGAATCATAACAAAGCAATTTGCTCTGATTCATCGCATTACTTTTCTCCTATGGTGTGGGTGTCAGCATCTGCTTAAGGTATAGCAATACATTTAAAAAACACGACTGTGTGTTTATAAAAGGAACTTCGCATATGGTCATATGTGTTTAAACATAAGCAGAATTCTATTTAATTGCTCATTTGCTTTGTTTAATATAAAATGAAGCTGTAGATACAAAGAATACAAAATGTTTCAAAGCATACACAGTAATGGTAAACACACGTGTATGGAAATTGCATAGTAACTGGGTTACAAAACATATTTTATTCTGCTTCTCAAAATTGAATATACTGCATAATACTGAAAGACATACCCTTGCTTTCTCACAGTAGTTAAGGTATGTGTATATAATTATATACCTTGGAATTTATTGCATGAAACTTAGATATGCTCTTGCATTCTTGCAGCTGCGGTTGAAGCATGTGTACTGCATGGATTGAAGCGTAGGGCTGCTGGCTTCTTGCGCAGCAATAAAATTGCAGCTTTATTTATGAAAGTGGCGAAGACCTTTCCACTTGCTGAAGATCTGTGCAGAAAGGTGCAAGAGTTGGAACAGCTACTTGAAAGCAAGTAAGTCTTGTTACTTTTACTACTACTAAAAATGAACGTCAATGCAAAGATCATTATTACAAAAAACACACATAAATAGTGGAGAGTCACCCTGGGTCCAGGCTAAGAGGGGGGTTCATTTGGGTGTACATATATTTCTCCTACAGCCCTGCCTATTAAACAGGTAAGCTCGGAGAGACAGGGAGGAGGATAGAGTTGTGAGTAGCCTGCATTCCATTGAAAAGCTGCCACACTGGGCTTCCAAATGGACTGCTTGTCCTGGACTCTTTCTACCGTGCTGTATTCTGTTGTGCTGGTTATTTGCCATATGTTGCTGTGTTTAAAAGAGTAATTTGTAATGCGCTGGAAAAAAAAAGGAAAGGGACCGGTAAACATGTTATTTACCAGCTTCTTCCTTTTCTGAATGAACAGTCTGTGATCGGTACTAATCACTGACTTTGTTCCTTCATAACTGAAGCATAGTAAACTGTATTATTTATATATATACTGTAAATATATATGTATGTAATGAACATAAAGTCTCAGTTGTTTGATCTACTAGAAGTTTGCTATTTCCTAATTTTTCTCTACTACAGTTAAAATGGAAATACATTTTTTTCAGCCTCCCTGGAGCTGGCACTTCCTCTGAGAGCTCTACTGTACAGGAAATGAAAGCCAAGTCAAAGTTGTTGATACAGTGTGGAAAATAATTACAGTATTTGATCCCCTGCAAATTTTTGAAAAAACTACTTGTCCAGGGACTAAATTGGTGCACCAATCTACTTGTCCCTCATGACAATCTACTTGTCTGGATTAAATCAGAGGTGACTTTAGGACTGTTTTAAAAATAAAAGGGGTTTTATGGTGACTTAAATGTGTAACATTTTTAACATTGCACTGTTTATCTCCTCAAACCCCCCCCCCCCCTTCCCCTGCCTGTCTCCAGCACCACATCCAGGGACTAGCAGGGAGGAGATGCCTTGCAGTATAGTGAGCACCAATTGGCTGCTCCTCAGGAAAGGGGAGTGTCTGGCTCATCCTTTAATGCTTTCGCTGCCAGAGCCCTTTTTGCATTTTTTGTACAAGATTAAAAAAAATTATTTTAGGCCTGACGATTACATAAAACCCCCTAACATTTATATATTTTCTGAAATCAGAGACCCTAGAGAATAAAAGTGATAGTTCCAATTTTTTATGTCACATGATATTACTTTAAAATTTCAGTAAAAATAAGTTAATTTTAGGGCACAAAAAACCAATAAATTACCCTATTTTTTTTGAAAAATATAAAAGATGAGGTGGCATCGAGTAAATAGATATCCAACATGTCAAACCTTAAATTTGTGAAATGGCGACGAATTTCAGTACCCTAAATTTTCCATAGGCGATGCTTTTAAAGCCCCTTATAGGTCATCAGTGTAGTGTTACAGAGGAGGTCTGGTGCTAGAATTATTGCTCTCTCCCTGGCGTGCGTGGCGATATGCAACATGTGTATTGCAATCGACGTTCACATGTGTAGGCGCCCCAGCGTGTGCTTTTATGTTTGTACGTGTGTATATTTGGGGGTGGGGGGGATGTTATGTGCTTAGGTGTAACTTTCATTTTTTACAATTTAAAAAAAAATATATATATATATATATTTTTTTTTTTTTTTATTTTTTTTTTTTACATTTAATGTTTTTTCATCACATAGGGGACAGGTTCTATTTATTGAGACATCCAAGGTCTAAAAGACCCTGCATGTCTCCCCTGTACTACACTGAATGTAAAGCAGTACACATCACACCACATTATATTTAGTGAATCTCTCAATGGGGACCCGAAAGTGACATAACTTCACTTCCGGGTCAGGACAAGGAGGGGAGTGGACGTGTCCACTCTCCTCCCTCCACTCTTGCTGACGGTGGGGGCTGGGCCTGCAGATGGGCAAATGTAGCCCAAGAGATAGTGGGCGGGGGGAGGTTCACATGAGGGGGCGGAGAGGCTAGCACTGTGTGATAGCAATCGGCGGCAGCGCTGCCGCTGATTGATTCCAGCTGACAGATGAACCCACAGCTTGCCCTCAGCAGGGCTGAAGGTAGAAAGAAAAAAAAAAACCGACCTGCCCTGCGCCCGGAACTACATGTGTCGGGCAATAGGAATTCAACATCCCTGATAGCTGTATTTTAAATGGTACAGACAGAATATCAAACATCCAGAAAAAAACACATGATACAAATGTTATAAATTGAGCTGCAGTTTAGTTAGTAAAATATTTATTCAATCCCCAAGCAAAACATGACTTAGTACTTGGTGGAAAAACCCTTGTTGGCAAGCACAGAGGTAAGACATTTCTTGTAATTGGTTACCAGGTTTGCACACATCTCAGGAGGGATTTTGGTCCACTCTTCTTTACAGATCTTCTCTAAATCCTTAAGGTTTATTGGCTGTTGCTTGCTTAGCAACTCGAAGTTTCAGCTCCCTCCATAAATTTTCTATAGAATTAAGGTCTGGAGACTGGCTGGGCCACTCCTTGATCTTAATGTGCTTCTTCTTAAACCACTCCTTTGTTGCCTTGGCGGTATGTTTTGAGTCATTGTCCTGCTGGAAGACCCATCCATGACCCATCTTCAGTGTTTTGGCTGAGGGAAGAAGGCTCTCATGCAAGATTTTTTAATACATGGCCCGTCCATTGACCCTTCAATGCGGCAGTCAACCTGTACCTTTAGCCGAGAAACAGCCCCAAAGCATAATGTTTCCACCTTTGTTCTTAACTGTAGGGATGGTGTTCTTAGGGTCATAGTCAGCATTTTTCTTCCTCCAAAGACGACGAGTTGAGTTAATGCCAAAGAGCTCAATTTTGCTCTCATTTGACCACAGTACTTTCTCCCAATCTTTCTCTGAATCATTTAGATGTTCATTAGCAAACTTCAGAAGGGCCTGCACATGTGCCTTTTTGAGGAGGGGGACCTTGTGGGTGCTGCAAGATTTCAAACCATGGCAGTGTATTGTGTTACCAATGGTTTATTTGGTGACTGTGGTCCCAACTGCCTTGAGATCATTCACAAGCTCCTCCCTTGTAGTTCTGGGCTGATCCCTCACTTTTCTCATGATCATACTTACCCCATGAGGCAAAATCTTGCATAGAGCTCCAGGCCAAGGGCGATTGATGGTTATTTTGTATTTCTTCCATTTGCGAATAATCGCTCCAACAGTTGTGTCCTTCTCACCAAGCTTCTTGCTGATGGCCTTGTAGCCTATTCCAGCCTTGTGCAGGTCTATAATCTTGTACCTGACGTCCTTTGACAGCTCTATGGTCTTGCCCATGATGGTGAGGTTTGAATGGAAGAAAGAGGTTCTGTGGACAGGCGTCTTTTTTATACACATATAATGAATTACCGTTAGGGGCACCTTCTTAAATTGACAGGACTAATCTGTGTACCACATAAGCACATAGCCCGGTTGTTTCACAACCTTTTTTGCCTTCGGGGAACCCTTGGCAACAGGATTGAGATTTGGGGAAACCCCTGAAATAAAAATGTCACATCTACAGAACATGGAACATTGGATCTGATAAGCGAGCTGTAGATATAACAGCAGTTAAAGAACTGTATCAAATAATAGATTAAATATTAAAAAAAACAACTTCTTAATGTGAAACTTGGGTTGTTTTTTTCTGCACAGATGCTCAATTCTGGGTTGAACTTGAGATAAGCACACACGAATTTCATCTTCAATTGAAATTAAACGATTCTGTTGCTCTTGAAGTTTGTTAAACAGGAAAAAGCTTGCTCACACATGTAGGAAGTAGAAAATTGCAGCAAAACATTTAAAGCCTTTCTGTAAATGGCAGGATACTCTTCTCTGACTTAAATCCAGAATTTGTCCAAGGATACATCATCAGCCCTCATCCTGAAGGTACGATCAGACTGCAGATCACAAATTTCTTCCTGTTCTTTTAAACTCAGGTTTTCTAACTGAACGGAAGACTCAGAGAAAGGGCTCCTCACCCAATCATACATTTGTGTTGAGAGAGAAGGAAAATAATATTCAATTTTGCTCTGCAGTACATCTAAGTGGCTTTCAATTAGACTTGAAGCTTGCTGGTATCCTTCCTCACTTCCAAGGCCAAGGAACATAGGAAACATCTCCAGATTTCGTTTGACAACAAGTATCTTGTCACTTGAAGTCTGGATATTTTCTCCACAACCTTGCAGAGACTTGTTCAGCAGGTTTACATGATTAAAAATGTCAGCTAAGTATGCTAGTTTCTGCAGCCATTCTTCATCTTCAAAGCACTCAGCAAAATCTGACCTAATTTCTTGGAAGTGTTCTTTTAGTTCTTCTTTCAGCTCAAACACTCTGTGGAGAGCTCGTCCTCTGCCACCTGATTTCTGTATGTAGAGAGTTAAGTGGTCCTTCTTCATGCTTTCACAAAGTTTTTGAAACATTCTTGAGTGAACTGGTCTTTGTTTAATAAAGTTCACCATTTTTTTTGCATCATCCAGAACACTTTTCAGTTCTGCGCCAAGAGATTTGGACATGAGCACTTCTCTATGAATAAAGCAGTGTGTTGTGACAACATTAGGGTTTTCTTTTTTTACCCTAATGTGAGGAAAAGACTTTCATGGAGCAAACCATTGATGGGGCACCATCAGTACAGATTCCAACACAACCATTACAAAACAGGCCTTGTGATTCCAGATAGGCAGAGAAAACATTAAATATATATTGACCCCTGGTTGTTTCAGGCAGCTCTTTGCAGCATAAAAAGTTTTCTTGCATTTCACCACTATTTTCAAAACATACAGATGCTACAAGATGGTACGCTCTGGTGATATCAGTGGACTCATCAACCTAGATAGCGAAGCAGATTTTTTTTACAGGATATCATACAAGACTTTTTCACATCATGTGACATGTCATCAATACGCTGACTTATTGTACTGTCTGAGAGTGGAACCTTTTCAATTTCTTTTACTGCAGCTGCTCCTAGCATGTGATTTACAATAATTTTACATCCTGCCATTATTATATTCTCA